GGAATCACTCTCTGGAACAACTGGTGTTTGCCTATTCACTTATCTGAATAATCCATTGAATTTTAATGGCAGAGGTATTAACCACTGTTGCACAGTGGTTAAAGCGATCAACTGCTAACTGAAAGGTCGGTGGTTTGAAACCACCAGCAGCTCCATGGGAGAAAGATGTGGCAGTCTGCTTCCGTAGAGATTTACAGTCTTGGGAACCCTATGGGGTTGCTAGGAGTCGGAATCGACTTGACGGCAGTGGGTTTGGTTTTTCTGGGTTTGTTGTATCTCCAGAATATAGCAGGCACTCAATAAATATTTGTAGAATAAAATCGATAAATGAAAATTATAGCGGTATACAATAGCAGAGCTATTGTTAACAAGTTTAAACTGAAACTATCTGCAAGGATATTTGATTCAAACTTAATTAAGGGCCCAGAAACGATGAAAAGTTGTTTCAGAATGAAATTTATTCAAGTATGAGTGAAATCTACTATTATGTTAAACAGTAATTTAGGTTCTACTTCTAGAAACAGAAGACTAGGTGGTTTGGACTATCCTGAGAACAACTAGAAAAGCTGGACAAAATATTAAAAACATTTGTTTGAAGATATCTGGGAGCCCCCAAAGGAATGGAAGGGCCAAGAACTCGAGAAAAGGAAAACATCAAGAAATTAAATCTGGTATTTGGGGCTGCGTTTTTGTCAATTCCAAAATCAGCTGCAGAGAGGCCAAAAAGCTGTCTTGTGCTTTTGACAGACTGATGTGGCTGTAGAAGCAAAATTGATATTCAGCTCCCACTGAAGAAGAAAGGTCTTAGTAAACATTTCAGACTTTGGTTTGGAACCCCAGGTGGTTATACCACAGAAGTTAAAGTTGAACCTAAATAGATAAGCCCTCAAAAGAACTAAAGTCCAATTTTGAATCACCTCGAACCTGGTCTAGGATTGTTGCTGCCCCTAGCCTAGTCACTTGCCAAAAGCCAGCACAAATCCTCTCTGGAGAGGAAATCATCTAGAGCTTCAAATTATATCTCTATTTTTTTCAAATGTAGTGTTCTGTTCTTAATAAGCATTATCAGGCATGTGAGGAGATAAGATTATATACCCCTAAACCAAGGACAACGATAGACAAGAGAAAAAGACCTACAGGGGATCCATAGACTAGCTATGTTTAATATGTTCAGGGAATTGAATAGTAATTTACAGTACATGTTTTATTTCTTCATTTTTGCATAAATTAATTGGGATGCTATCTTTTTAAATACATTGTTATTGTGTGCCAACTCCTAGCGACTTTGTATGACAGAGTGAAACTGCCACAAAGGGTTTTCTAGGCTATAATCTTTACAGAAGCAGATCACCAAGTGTTTTCTCCCATGAAGCTGCTGATGGGTTTGAACTGCCAACATTTCGGTTAGCAGCTGAGTGCTTAACCACTCTGCCACCAGGGTAGTGACGTCACTAGAGAGGTACAAGGGGATGTGGCTGCACCAGCTGACACTGTCAGAGGGGATGACACCAAAATGACTGTCTATAAAGTTCTTGTGCAGTGTTTCAGCAGAAATTTATTACGTTTTATAAAAATATCCCTGTAGGAGGGGAGGGGTGGGGATGGAAAAACACTAAATAAGACAATAGCTAAGGGGTAACTTTGGTGAAGGGTAAGACAGTACACAATTCTGGGGAAGCCAGCACAACTTGTACAAGGCAAGGTCATAAAAGCTCCATAGACACATCAAAACTCCCTGAGGGACTGAATTGCTGTGCTGAGGGCTGCGGGGACCATGGTCTTGGGGAACATCTAGCTCAATTGGCATAAAATAATTTATAAAGAAAATGTTCTACATTCTACTTCGGTGAGTAGCGTCTGGGGTCTTAAAAGCCTGTGAGCAGCCATCTAAGATACTACACTGGTCCCATCCTTTCGGGAGCAAGGGAGAATGAAGAAAACTAAAGATACAAGGGAAGGATTAGTCCAAAGGACTAATGGACCACAACTACCATAGCCTCCACCAGACTGAGGGGAGTACAACTAGATGGTCCCCGGCTACCACCACTGACTGCTCTGACAGTGATCACAATAGACAGTCCCGGACAGAGCTGATGAAAACTGTAGAACAAAACTCTAACTCATAAAAAAAAGGCCAGACTTACTGGCCTGACAGAGACTGGAGAAATCCAGAGAGTATGATCCCTGGACACCCTTTTAGCTCGGTAATGAAGTCACCCTTGAGGTTCACCCTTCATCCAAAGAAAACAAAACGAGACTAAAGGGGCACATCAGCCCAGGGGCAAGGACTAGAAGGTAGGAGGGAACAGGAAAGCTGGTAATAGGAAACCCAAGGTCGAGAAGAGAGAGAGTTGACATGTCATGGGGTTGTTAACCAATGTCATAAAACAATATGTGCACTAATTGTTTAATAAGAAGCTAGTTTGTTCTGTAAACTTTTATCCAAAGTATAATAAAAATAAATTAAAAAAAGAAAAAAAATCCCTGAAGTTATAACAACAAAAACATTTTTCATAAACCTAGCTTACATGTATCAATATACCTACAAGGCTAAAACTCTATGTTAATTTACTTTTTAAACCTTCTAATGCTCTCCAGTCAGAGCTGTCATTATTACCCAATCACAATGATGCTTCGAATCACGTTGTTTCATCTGCACGTGCTACAAGCACGCGCTGTTTTTGTAGCTGCTGAATGTTTTTATAGTTGCTGATTTTGTCAAATTTTCTGGTGTTTTAGCTACATTATTGTGGTAATTAGTATTTGTGAACCTATATCAATAACTTTTTTGAAAATGAAATAGTAATTAAAGGAAAAGGAGTGATACACAGGAATTAATGATTTCTGAGTAACATTAGTACAAAAAAAATTACATATCCTCCTCACTTGTTGATTATCTCGTTATCTGACATTTCGCATTTATGACAGCAGTAAAAAATCTAGTACTTGACTATTTTGAGCATTAATGATGTATGTCTGGCAGTAACAAATGCCAAGGTGCGAGGCAAGAGTAACGCTGGCTGTGATGGTTAAGGTTATGCGTCAGCTTGGCTGGACCATGATTCTCAGTGGTTTGGCAGTTATGTAATGATATACTTTGGAAGTTATGTAATGATGTAATTTGACAGTTATGTAATGATGTATTCATCCTCCATTTTGTGATCTGATGTGGTCATCCTCCATTTTTGCATAATGCCAATTTTTCATATAATGACCTGGTCTTTGGAACCTAACATGTCAATAAGTGAGGAGTGGGTGCACTAAGGATTCTGTATGGTCTGGTATGGGAGGGAGTCCATGGGGAGGTTGACACCATGAGTTACGGCGCATGGCAACATCAACATTAGTGACACCACTGCACCAGGGCTCTTTCTTTCTAAATGTAGCAGAGAATTAATACGTATTTTGTTATTATACATAGTTCTGTTTTATAGAAAAATTAAACAATATATGTTAAAATTATGAGTGTTACCAGGAATCCTGTTAGTTGAAATCACCAGTATCTAAGGAAGTTTGTTTCACTCTTAAGAATCATATAAAGCAGAATAAAAGGCTGCTTGAAGACAGGTAGATGGTAGACAGGAGTCATCCTAGATGCAAACATCGTAGGCTAGAAGTGCCTGATGCTTGGACTTATCTACATGTTCCAGACCTTTTTCCTAATTTCTTCAACCAAATTTTATTTCCTTTGGCTTAGGTTATACCCTGATTCTTGTTTAAATTCTTAAACTTTCCCTATTTTTTTTTTTTTTTTTTTGCTGGTGTTGGCCTTCTGAGTGCTGGTCAATTCAAATTTACGTGTTCTTTGGAGATGCGTGCTTGTTTGGTTTTACAATTTAGACTCTGACTTTGCCTCTGGCCTAAAACTTTACAGTCAACCAGACTTACATTGTGTGTAAGGAACATTACTCAGCTGCTGATGGGTCATACTTGGACTAAACAGATTCAATGATGCCTTTATGAACTACTTAGGAAGTAGTCTTAAGGGGTAATAACAGCACCGTCCTGAAAAATACTACCATAAAACATATTATACATTGCCTTTAAATGCATCTAATGGGTCACTAGACCTATATTATACTGTTCCATAAGGATATATACATGAATATTTTCCCCTTCCCCATGTTTCCAACTTCCATTTAATGCAATTTTTTCTGAGTATTATTTTAAACTTCCACTTTAATATGGATAGTTCTCTAAACGATTTTGAAGTAAAGTTATTGCTGTATCTATGTAAATAAAAGTAGTAATATATGAAGTTTGTGATAAAACTAAATTATGCAAGCCATTAATACTTATCTGTGCTAGAGACAAACCACTTTTTCTTAACATCTGAACCCACAATGGAAACAAATTCTGATATCCCGATAAATCATAAATAAGAAAAGCCTGAGTAAGCTGTGTTTTGTGCCACAATCTGAATGCTTACAAGCAAAATGATAGTATTAGCTACAGAATAAATGAGATAAGAATAGCTACTACCTCCAAAGTCCAATTGATCTGAAATTATATTGATTCTACATCTTAGGGCTTCTTTTGGTTGAGTTCTTCTCTGTATTTCTGATGCCGGGAAAATTATATAGCATACACATACACAACACCAGTGAAAGACCGAGCATGACGTATTCAGGCTATCCCTTATAAGTACACAGAGAAACTGCATTACTTAATTTTCCAGGCAGACATTTTTCTTAAATTTTATTAGTTAAAGTTTGAAATAAAGCCTGACATTAATCTGAGGCAATATAGTAGAACTCAAGAAAAGCCTTTTTAAAAAATTCAGAATTGTAATTACCATCCGTATTAGTGAAGTACTATGATAAATATGTTATAAACTACGTGTACTCAGAATTCTAATCTAGTATATTTTAACTCATAACCAGTATAAAATGTGCCTTTATTTGACAAAGCTTACATTTAACATAGAGTGCATCTAACACAAATATACAATAATGCTTTAAAACTCCAAATTGAAAGTTTGAGGTAGTTATGATGGTTACCTTCTTTGTTTTTTAATGTCATGTGATTTGTCTTCTGTGATCCTCGATACTGTCTTAAGTGTAGATTTAGTAGTAGGCTGTTCAAATTCAAATTGAAAATCAAACGTCAGGGGACTAATCAAAGACTTTTTCCTTCTTCCAGTCTGAAGCCTATTGATCTGCAGCAAAGCAGAAGCATAACATGGTGAAAAAAAAATTAGTACTTAATATCTAGGTAAAATCCTGAGTGGAAAGGACAAAAATTAATCTCTATTTACACACAACACACGGAATTTATGTGGATTGCTATAATGGAAAAGTATTACAGACTTGAAATTGGAGGGCCTGAGTATCAACCTTTTTAGGCCATTATTGTGTGACTGCAGCCCCCTTTTCTTCTATCTATAATTCTCTCCTAACCCTAAAATTCAGAAGGAAGGGAGGACCCAAATGGTTTGGGTCTTGGTCTTGCTCAGTTTAAGAGACAGAAACCAGAGTTCAAGGAGGATAAAGCAGCTAGAACTTGTAGGGCAGTGTACTTGAGAGGAAGTAGCTGCACAGAGAGAACTCTAGAGGTTGGAAGAGAGGTCCCCTTGAGTGCTTGACTGAGTAATGACCTGCATATGCTTGAAGTGAAACTCTAAGAGGCTGGGGAAGAAACCATGGAAAGCAGTAGGCTGAACAATTCCTGGGAATCACACAGGGCTGGGGATAGAGTTCCCTTTTACTCCAACTGAGGGCTTCAAACCGGTTCATTCCAACAAGATCCCCAGGTGATTCAGGTCTTGTTAAAATGTAGATTCTGATTCAGTATATCTGGGGGTGGAAATGCAAATTCTCATAACTCACAGGGCATTGGGTAGAGTACTCAGAAGGGAATCACCTTAAGTAGTCAGGCTAAACTAGCCCTAGAGGCTTCTTTGGACCCATCCTAATAAAGCTTAATAAAAAGCCTCAGAAGAATCCAATTGCTTCAAGGTGACTTAAATGCAGTCCAGTACAAAATCCAGTACTCCTTAAGGAATACAACAAGATCTCACACCCAACAATGTAAAATCCCATCAGTCAACCAAAAATTACAAGCCATGCAAAAAATAAGGAAAATACAACTCATAATGTGGGGAAAAAAAAAAAAGAAACAGACACAGAAATGGCCTAGATGATAGAATTAGATGATACAAGGACATTAAGACAGCTGTTACAAATATTATAAATATGCCCAGGCATAAAGGACAATGTAAATGTAATGAAGAGAGAAATGGAAGACTTGGGAAAAAAAAAGAATTTTTAGAGATGAAAAATACGCTTCAATATGTTTCTCAGTGTAAAAAGTAAGTAGCATTAGCAATAACACTCTTAGCCATTTATCCCAGAGAAACAAAAAATGAAAAGTTATGTTCACACAAAAACCTATACATGAATGTTTACTGCAGTTTCATTTTTAATAGCAAAATACTGAAAACAACACAAATGTCTTTCAGTGGATGAATGATTGAAACCCTGTACATCCATATAATGGAACACCACTCAGCAATAAAAGGAATAAATTATCGATCCATGCAAAAACCTGGATGCACCTCAAGGGCATTATGCTTAGTGGGAAAAGTCACACTCAAAAGTTTACATTTTGAATGATTCCATTTATATAATATTCTTAAAATTATCACACTGTTGAGATGGAAAACAGTTCAGTGGTTGCCAGGGATAGAGACAGGGGAATGGGATGGAAGCATGGGGAGAATACAAAGAGATAACATGAGTGAGTTCTTTTGTGGTGACAGAACAGTGCTGTATCTTGATTGCAGCAGTGGTTATATGAATCTATACATGGGATAAATTCAGGTTAAAGAAAAATGATGAAAACTGATAAGGTCTATAGTCTGGTTTATATTAATGTACCAGTGTTTTTATATTGTACTACAGCTATATAAGTTGTCACCATTGGGAGAAGCTAGGTGAAGGCTATAGTGGACTCTGTACAAGTTTTGTAAGTTCCTGTGAATCTTCAATTATTTCAAAACAGAAAATTTAAGAAAGACAAAGAGGTAACTAGCAAAGTGATTTACAATTTATGTGTTATCTCCTTTTTTGTCATTAAGAAATGAAAATCAAGAAAATCTACCTTCATATATGTAAATCTTTATGAGTACCAAAGATGTGAATGGATAACCTCCAGCTGCTAACATTTGTTTGCCTCAGGGGAAAGGGTTGGAAGGAAGAGGCCAAAGACTATTAATTTTTCTTTATGCAACTCTCTATATTTCTTGACTTGTTTCCAAATGTGTGTTTTAATTTTATAATTTAAAAATAAGAAAAGGTTTGAAAGATGATTGTGTAAACTTTTAAAAAAATTTCCAGAGAATGTTCTATCAGTAACACATAAACTCTGAATTGTGACACAAAATGAAAAAATGCATGAAAAATGCTTTGCACTAAGGAAACATTCAGTAAAAAGTAAGCTTTATATTAATAATCGTAATTTAAGAATATATACAAAAGGGAATTTCATGATAAATTAAATATGTTTGTCTCTTTATGTTTTCTAAAGTACATTACATTTTAAACAAAAAAATTTAAAAAATGAGCTTTGGGGTATCTCAGTTTAATATGGTTTCTTTTATAAGTTACCCCTGGTTTGCTATTTCAAAATTTTCAATATTTCTAGCTATAATAGAATGAATTTATTCCATTTACCAATATTCCTCTGGTTTATTTTCTGAATGAAAGAAAAGAAAATCAAATTATTATTCAAGCATCAACATTTTGATTTTCAGGTTCACAAAAAGTTCATTCACATAACAGTTCCTCTGTGTGACATTTTCCTTCATTTCCCAGACTCCGTTGTTCCTTACATACACCTCACTTATTCACGTGGTTATATTATTTTGCAAGTCTTTGTATAACCAAAATTAAATTGCTCATATATGCCAAAAACATGGTCTTTGAGGGTATGTTCTTTATTAATATTGTTCTATTAACTTCTATGAGGTATTGCCTTTTAAAGTTTTCTTTAATTAATTTCTATGAGTTTTAATTATTCCTAATTTGGTTTAACTCTACCAATTTTTTTTTCGTTTTAATAAACCAACTGAAGAACTTTTTATATGTTTAACATAGTAGTAAGAACTATAGGAGAAGTCACATTTAATATTTGGTTGTTTTGGATTTTGTCCTTCTTAAGCAGTTTACGTACGTATCATAACCTTACACAGTGGTTACGTAGAAGTTACCATGCATATTATTTCTACATAGCATTCACTTAGGTAGATGACTCCACTAATGTAATTATTTTCTTTTTGCAAATTAGTTTATACTTTCATATGAACACATCATTAACTAAAAAGTAAAAATAATTTTCATATTGGAAATGTCAATTTTTTAATGACTAAATTGAATTTTAGCTTTTACTGTACGAACCTTTTCTCTTTGGGCCAAGAGTATCTTTTCTTGATCATTCAGGATATCTAACTTCTCTAAGATTTTTGCTGCCATTGTCAGTCATTGAATTCCTATTTAAAAAAGAGGAAAAAGAAGAAATCTCCAAAACAATTCAAATGTAAACGTATACCTGATTATTTAGGCATAGGTTCAGAAGAGATCTACCCTTACGTTACTGTTTAGACAAATGATAGAATTTTACAACAGGAAGGAATTGTAAAGGCACAGACTTTCAAAAAAGGTCACATGATCAGAATTCCCAGATGTGTGTGGGTCCCAAGAAATTTTAAATTTATGATTAAGGTGAGTTGGAGAAAATTCAAAATGACCACATGAGAACCAGATATGACTCATACTTGAAGCTAGGGCACATGGCTTGATTTGTATCTGTTTTCTTTTGGTCATGATATAATTTTAATGAAAGTTAACTCGAAAAGCTCACATTTATATAATTAATTACATTCAAAATAAACTGGTCAGTGATCCAAGACTGTTAATATAGCACTTAGCAGGCAGTGAGTCACATAGAAGGAGCAGCAGCCCAGCTGGTTAGGTCCTTTTGCCATAATATGTAGTTCATATTTTCCAGTTAACTAACATTGCTGGAAATCTCATCTGGGGTCAGGCAGTTTATAATAGGCTCTGGGAGCTGTATGTTGGACATCAGGACCTGGTGGTCTAATTTATTTTCATTTTCAGATGAGAAAACTGAAGGCCACAGAGTATCTTAGTAATGCAATACGAATAGCTAGGGGAAGAGTGGAGGCAGAAATCTAGGAATACTAACCCAAACTCCCTCTGTTTTATTTGTTGGAGTATGACTATGCACTCAATATATTTTTGTTGAATAAATTAAATGGGCTCCAGTGGCATTTAAGTATGAATGTCATATGGTTCATGGAAAGCATTTATTCGTCAATATTTTTAATGAACATCAGTGTTACTGCTGAGGTCTTCAAAAAAGTCTGTATTTCTGCCATATTGTATAGTATGCAATCAACATCACACAGAGACAATAATGCATGAAAAGACAAGGATTCAGGATCCTATTCAAAAGCTCACGTTATTTCATACTTGGTTTCTTTCGGCTCTTCTTTTCTACTCTCTTTCCTTCACCATATATTGCCCTGAGTGTGAATTCTTGGTGCTAACAGTGCCTACCCGTCCCAGCATGCCCTCTGCCATGCTGCAACATCCAGTTACTCCACCTCTATCCCATGATGTAGTCCAAAGTGACAAAGGGCTTGCTGCAGAGGGAATTGTGGGCCTTGGGGCTGCAAGCAAATAATGTGTCTTGTTAAAAACCATATGACCTAGGTTGCAAGCTGGGAAGGGGAGACCCAGGGCATGGGGGCCCAGGGTCTGTGCTCACATGACATCCTATGTATACTACTACCCTAGCACTTCTCACACTGTATTAAAGCATTAGATACACTTGCCTTATTCTCCCTCTATACTATATGATCCTTTAAGGCAAGAACCATGTCTAATTTATCTTTATACCCCAATACTTAACAATTTGAATGAAGGAATTAACTATTAACCACAGAGGAAACGGACAACTCTAAATACTATGACTTCTTTTACATTCATGAGTATGCACAAATTTTCAACAGAGTCCTTTTGAGGTTCTTCTAGATCAAGCCATAGCATTACAAAAAAAAAAAAAAAAAAACAGGAGGAGAAAATTGCCTTAAAGGAAGTAGAAACTAAAGAAGCAGACCTCCATAATAAATCCAACATAGCAAACATTGCTTTCTCTCCCACCTTCAAACTTAGAAAGGCAGCATAATGTGCTAGTTAAGAACATGGACTCTGGAACCAGTTTGCCTGGTGTTGAATCCTTGGCTCTGCCATTTACCAGCTGTGTGACTGTGGGCAAGCTGCTTAACGTCTCTTATTGCCCCATCTATCTGTAAGATGGAGATAATAAAAGTGCCCACTTCATGGAGTTGTTATGAGGCTTAACTGAGTGAATGGAAAAGACGTCTAAGTGTTTGGTAAATAAACAAATCTAAGTAATGGTACACTTTTCAGTTAGGGATAAAGTGTGTGGCTTACCTATAAATGCTGCAAAGTGCATGCTCCCCATATCCGTACCATTTCGTTCCTTTCTGCCATACCTGCTCCACGCAGTTACCAGTGGCCTTCGTATGTCTAACTGCCTACTGCTTCCTTCACAATAGTATCTTCAATTATGTCTACACACAATCACTTTAGAATTTGGAAAACAATGAAAATGTATTCAGCAATTCAGAATCTTCTGTGCCATGTCATCAGATTATCTTGTTTCCTTCTCTAATTTACTCATATTTTGACTTCTGAATTTCTACTAAATTTTTATTGTGAGTTCAGTGAACAGAAACTGAAAGTCACTGTCTTATAAAGCACTAATATAGGCCTTAAATGCATTGCAAATATTATGGAGACTACTCTGATAGACATTACTATCTCTTCATACTGGAGTATCATAAAAAAAAATTTGTATTGTACCCAAGTAAGTATATAGGATCATCCCATTTCAACTTATATATTGGCAGGGGTGGGAGAGATAATCTTACTTCTTAAATATGTGTAAATACATCTAAACCATTGTTATATGTACTTACAGTTGGGTGGAAATGCTCTCATCTGGAATGTAAGTTCCTTATGTGGTCAAAGAACCTCTGATTCATAGAATCTTGGGGTTAGAATGTATCAACAGCCTCTCATATAATTCCACAAACAGTGGGGGCTACGGTGACCCAAAGGGGACGAGATCTTTCTGATCCTTGTTTTTATTGCCATTGCCATTGCCCTACTTCAGAACTTCAGGTTTTCATTTTCTCTCTTGGATTACTACATAGTCTCTGGGTGGCACAAATGATGAAGTGTTTGGCTACTAATGGAAAGTTTGGCAGTTAGAATCCACCCAGAGTCTCCTTGGAAAAAATCCTACAGATCTCCCGAAAGATCACAGCCATTGAAAACCCTACGGAGCAGTTCTACTCTGAAACACATGGAGTTGCCGTGAGTTGGAATTGACTCTAGGACAACTGGTTTTGAGGTTTTTTTTGGCGGGGGTCGGGGGGTGTTACTACATTTTTATTGTTGTTGTTAGCTGTTGTCAAGTCAGCCCCCAACTCACGGTGACCCCTTCACAAAAGAATGAAATGCTGCGCCATCCCCATGATCGGTTGCTGATTAGGCTGCTGTGATCCATAGGGTTTTCACTGGCTGATTTTCAGAAGTAGATTGCCAGGCCTTTCTTCCTAGTTCATCTTAGTCTGAAAACTCCACTGAAAACTGTTTGGCATCCTAGCAATACACAAGCCTCTGATGACAGACAGGCAGTAGCTGGTCATGCGGTATATTGACTAGGTCTCTCCTGCATGGAAGATGAGAATTCTACCACAGAACCACCACTGCCTCATTTTACTGCATTATTAAGTAAACAAACGAAAAACAAACTCATTGCTGTTGAGTTGATTACCTTTCATGGCTACCCATGGGTTAAACAGTAGAACTGCTCCATGGGGTTTTCTTGGCTATAAACTTACAGAAAGAGATTGCCAGGCTTTTCTTCCATGACACCACTGGGTAAGTTCAAACCACCAACCTTTATGTTAGTAGTCCAGTGCAAACTCTTTGCACCACACAAGTACCTTAACCACGTTATAATAATAATAATAATAAACCCATTGCCGTCGAGTCAATTTACACTCACAGCAGAACTGCCCCATAGGGTTTCCATGGAGTAGCTGGTAGATTTGAACTGCCAACCTTTTTGTTAGCAGCTGTGGCTCTTAACCACTGCGCCACCAGGTCACTACATTATACTCCCTCCTAATTTGCCTGCCTCTAACCTTCCTCTTCATGCCTCAAACTTTGATGCTTCAAAATGCCATCAGAGCTATCTTCCTTAAACAGGATGCTGATCAGGTCCAGCTCCTGCTCACAAACCTCAGCTACAGAATAACACCCACGCTCTTCAAATGACATACAAGACCATTCAAGAAAAGACTGTCCAGGATTTGGCTCAATCCACTTTTCTGGTTTATCTCCCACCATACCCCACCCCACCCCTCACCCCGCCGCCCCCCGACACGCCCAGCCCTGCCAAACTCTACCACTTGTAATCCCTGGACACTTTCTGTCCCTTTCCTAAGCATGTCCTTCACTCATATTTTTCTTCCACTTGAAATGTCCTCCCCTTATGTCTAACACAAGGTCCTTAGGTGGCGCAAACAGTCTGCACTCAACTGCTAACCTAGAAGTTGCCAGTTCGAACCCACCCAGTGGTACTGTGGAAGAAAAGGGCTGGCAACCTGCTTCTGTTAAGATTACAGCCAAGAAAACCCTATGGGGCAGCTGTACTCTGCACACCTGGGGTCGCCATGAGTCAGAATCAACTCAATGGCAACAAACAACAACAACATGTCTAACAATCAAAAAGCCTACCCTTTATCAAATCCTGGTTTAAAGACACCTCTATTATGAAACTTTCCTCTGCATTCTACCATCCCGTGTCTCAGGGACAGTCTCTCGTGTGCACTTTGTCCTTCATTATAGCACTTAGCACAAACTACTTTGTGCTACAGAGATTTGCTTTGACAAATCTTGCTTTTTCACGTCTTGAAAGCTCACTTAAAACAAGAATCAACTTAACCCACCTCTTAATCTCAGCACCAGTCCGAGCATTTTACATCTAAGAGGAATATGAAAATTACTATTTAAGTTGAGGATGTCTCTGAACGTAACACCTTAGGGAGAGTAATCCCAGTTTATCTGTAATGGATGATGTTAGTTCATTATGATTTACTCTAGGGATGAGATATAAAGTGGAGTGAATGATTATAAAATGTGGCTTTTGCCACATCTAAACTCAGTAAAATTATTTTCAAAAGACATTTGGATTTATGTTCTTAATTACCAGCTCATAAGTTCTGAAATGACAGTTTTTTGAAAAAGAGCACAATGAAATCAAGAACTTGCCAGTTAAGCAGACTAAAATTCCCTGTCACTCTCACCGTAAACCATCCACAGGCCTCACTGCAAAGTCTTGGTCACATCCAAGAACAACTTCAGGGTTGTAGAGGCAACATTATAAACATATCTGAGGCTGAGTCATTACTAAAATAACAATATCTAACTAAGAAGTTACTTTTAAGAGCAATATTCCATTTTAACAGTTAACACCTTTGAGACTAAAAAGAGATGCTGCCACCGTAATAGGCTCTGCCAAGAAGGCTTCTTCAGCAAGTTCCAAACATCTATTAAAGGAGGAGCTCAGCAAAAGGAAA